ACACACACACACACACACACACACACACACACACACACACACACACACACGGGCAAATTCCAAACATCGCTTCAGTGTGATGCAGACAGCAGAGGAGAGCACGGCGACGATATCGGTCAGAATCTGACACGTTCATGAATTCATGTGACGTGTTTTTCTGATTCTCCTGATCTCAGCTAGAAGACGCCTGCATTCATTTTATTTATTTATTTTTTCAGTTTATTCATTTTTATTGTTGCCCGTTTTGTTTTCTTGCCGTAGCTCAAGTGCTTCGAATGTAGGGATGGGTATCAAAACCCGGTTCTTGTTGAGAACCGGTTCCCACTGTTCCAATTCCTTGGAAGTGTTTGCCATTTTTGCAAACGATTCCCTTATCGATTCCAGTCGCCCCGAATGACGTCACCACGTTGCGGAGCGTCATTTAACTGGCAGGAAACACGGCGCCTAAGTGGCTCAAACACTCAAAAGTTTGGTTATACTTTACGAGAACGGATGACAACAGGACAACTTGCAATACTTGCAAAGTAGATGTTTCATTTAAGGGAGGAAACACTACGAATATCAAAAGCATTTGCTCACAAACACGCGATGAACTTAAATGAATGTCGTGTTTTTAATTCCAGACTCGTGAATCTCAGCCCAGCAGCAGCGGTAACGTTTGCACGTCCTCTCCCGTTAATGCGGCAGGTAAATAATCAACTAACAGTGCATATTATGTTAGCGCGATCTGCCTTATTACAAACCTGCCATTACTGTGCATTTAGTGACCATGATGAGAGAGACAGAGCCTGGCTCAGATGCTGGCAGTTCTCGCTGCAGTCTACCGGTAGCGTCTCCTTTCAGGCAGGATAGACGAATGTCACCGAGCAGTGACTCAGTTTGTGGTCAAAGGTTTGCACCTATTTGCCACAGCAGATGCCCCGATTTACGATAAGTGAATGTGTTTAATTGTAGGCAGGGACATTACTGGATATTCTTGTGTAGTTGCTACAGAATCATTTATGTTATACTTTGTTATTGCTACAGAAGAATATTTATTTTATTATTTTACATTTACAATTTTTTTCCCGGGGACCCTGTGACGCCCCACTGAAGAGCCGCAGGCTGGATCTCTTAAGATGTCACTGCTGGGTTTGTAAGGCCATGTTACTCCTAAATTTCTATCTTGTTCAAAGAGAAGATATAAAACAAAGTTCTAAGCTAATCGACCTTAGTGTTCTCCTTTTTTAAAAAGAATCGATAAAGAATCGAATCGTTAAACAGAATCGAAAATGGAATCGGAATCGTGAAAATCTTATCAATACCCATCATCCCTATTCCAATGATAAAACTTTAATTTTCAGACTCTTGAACTGTTATTACTGCATAACAGGTTTTTTTTCCATCCATCATGAAGCTTTTCCTCCCAGACCAGACATTTGTGTTAGTGTTAGATTTTTGAATTTTCTGGAATAAAACACAGGTGGTTTACTCTGGATGAGGAACAGGAAGAATGCGAACGATAGCCCTGATGATCTGGGATCTACAGTAACCTGTGGTGAATGAGTTGTTTGTATGATAACCTGGTATAATATTCAAAACTGCACCTCAAAAAAGAAAAAGCCCTCCAGATTTCATCAAACAGGAATATTAATCCTGTGTTTGTTTGTGCCCGAAACGTCAACAAGAACTCGAGAACGGCTTCGGTCACACAATCTGAAATCCTTTTGTTCCTCGTTCGGGACGTCACACCAGCTCTGAACAGCACAAACATGGCTGCGCTTGATTTTCAGCCACAGCATCAGTAAACTTCCTCTTTGGCTGACATGTCGATGCAAACCCAGAATGAAAAAGTGAAAACCTGGCCAACAAACTAATATCGAAACAGCTGAGCATTAATCTTTAGGACGTGGCTGCAGATTGTCTCTCCAGGTGGAATTAATCTACCTGTCTGCCCTTTAAACTGGGCTGTGAGACTGAGGGAAGGTCACACAAACACTTTCTATTCATGTCAGATTCTGACCACCTCGCAAATTAAATAAGGAGCCGAAAAAGGTGAGGACCGAACCCCCCAGCCGGCTGCTCGCGAGCCTGCCTGTCAGCACTGCCCTTCAGCGAGGAGGACGGACTCGCTTTGCACCCCTCTGGACTCCAGCAAGGCAATCGAGGTAACGCAGCAAGAAGACACGGGAAACTTCAAAACTCACTCTTTGAGCGTCTCGAAGCCTTGCTCTTTGTACAGCAGCTCCTGCTTCATACAGGCGAGGTCCCGCTTCAACTTGTTCACCTGAGAAGAGGCAGAGACAGGGTGAGGGTTAGAGACCAAACCTCCAGGACCAAAACGTCTTACATCTTTAAAAGTGGCTCACAAATATGGAGTTTAATGCTTCAGAGCAGCTGAGCTCTGTGTGTTACCCTACAGGTGTTTAAACAAGACATTTCAGACAGTTTTTTCTACTCTCAGATCTGCATGATGTCACAGAGAGGGGCTCTCTCTATATGGGGGGCAACCAATCAGAAGAACGTTGGCTTAAAAGTAGTTGGAGTGAAGGCGACATGGTTTGTATCAAAGGGAGCCCAGTATCAGGCAAATAAGGATCATTCTGAACCGCGAGTCATGCAAAGCGGCTCTAAAAGAGTCCAAAACATCTCACGTGGAAAGAATGAGTTTGGTATGTGGTCGTGCTGCTTTGAACAAATTAAAATGCTGACTATGTGGGGGGCGTGGCCAGAGTTCGACTCAGGTGACTCTTCAAGTGCATAGTTGATCCACAGCCAGGAGGTGTGTGTGTGACGCTCTTTGTTTTTCCCCTTTCAAGATGAACAACAGCAGGGTTTACACCAGCCTAGGAGGCCAGAAAGCTCAACACCCCCACCCTGCAGCGAAGCGCCCGAGCAGCCCGCAGTGCCCGCCGGCCGTTAACGTGTAAACTGTTCACTAATCAAAGCAGGTGGGTCGTCCTCTGCTGTAGGTAAATGTGACTCCGTGCTCTCTCTCACCTTATTTTCCTAATGTTTGTTTACATGCCTGCAGGCTCAGCTGACGTTATGCCTCCTATTTGGACGGAGGTGGTCTTACCCGACTTTTGGCCGTGGATATCTCGGCTTTGAGGATGTCCGGGTCGTACTTGCTGGAAGAGGACGATCTGGAATTCACTGTGGAAACAACAGGACGTTAGACGTTAGAGAGGCTGTGATTTCAGCTTCAGGCTGAGGCCGAAGCATTTGGTACAGTCTCAGTGAGGAAAGCTCTGCTGAATTTGTTTTTAACAGAAAAGCTGAAAACCCCAAAAAATTATACAGAATTTATTTATTTTTTAAATGTGACAATGTACAGATTAATAAAAACGTTATTTTACTCTTTTTACTTTTATTGAACTATATTTATTAAATGTTTGTATTTTTATTCTGAATTTGAATGCATTTTTAATTTCAATTTTTTTATTTTTAAAAATATTTTCATGTTTTATATCTTGATAAATATTTTTATTTTACTTTTACTTGTTTGTTTTTATGTTAACTTTATTGATATTTATAAATATTATATTTATTTGAAAATTTAAAAAAAATTCTTTTTTCAAATTAAGGAATTGTTTTTACATTTTAAAGTACATTTTATTATTTATTATTAATTTATTAATTCCCCTTTTTTTATTTTTAATAGTTTCTTAATTATTTATTTTATCTTTCTATATTCTTTTTATTATTTTCTTGTACTGACGACTGTTTTTGACACTTTTCTCACGATCACATGTATGAATGCGTGATTACTGCTGTCACTGTCACACTGTGTGATGCCAGCAGAATTAGGCGTTCTTCCTCCTGCTCTCACATCAGTGTCGTCTGCAGACATCAGTCACAGACTCCTGCTGACCTCCTCTGTCCGTCACATCGCAAACACAAAGAGGTCAGAGCTGATCTCTCGTGTAAAATCAGACAGACGGAGGTTTTTGATTTCGGTCGTCACTCACAGCTCGTCTGCGACGTGGACTTGTCCCTCCACGCGTCGTTGAGCTGGCGGTACTCCTGCTGTGCCAGGCGGAGCCTCTGCTCCTTCACCTGGTAGATCTCCTTCTGGGCGCTGAGCGCGTCGCTGGCCACGGCCAGGTAGTCCCGCAGCATGGCCTCCTGCTCCCGCTGCCACTGGGCCCGCGGGTCCTCCAGCTGGGTGCTCTCTGGAGGAAAACACGATGAAGAGGAAACATGAGCAGGAGTTCAAAGGTGGGAAGAGGCACAAAGCTTAAAAACCTTTCTTAGCTTTCTTTTGATGCAGCAGAGGAACTGATCACAGCTTCTTAATGTACAACAGAACAGCAAAGACTGTTACGACAGTGTAATTCAGCAGTGTCCCATAAACCTGCCGGTCCTTTGCTTCATGAAGCTGAGCGGCCTCCAAGCCTGAGCGAGAGGCTGACTGGTGCCTTAGCTCATTCACAGAGGAGGGAGAAACAGGATGAGGAGAGAAACTCACTGGTGTTGTGGTCGACATAGTACGCTCCGACGACGGGGTCGTACGCCTCCTCCCAGCCAACCGGCAGCTCGTCCCCGATGCAGTCGGCGAACGTCAGAGGCTTCGTCTGCCTGAGAAACAGAAAAACAGAGTCAGAGCACAGAAAGCTCTTCATCACTCCTCATCATCAGGGCTGCCACAGATCCGGATGCAAAGGAGGGCTCTGACTCGCCTGTTTGCATGAGTTCTACATGTTTTTGTGTTGCCCGCTCGATGTTTAAGATCGAGTCCATTAAAGCTGTTTATTTGGAAACGCGTCCAAATCAAACCCAAACATTCAAACCCTGCTGAATGAACCCACTCAAACACTGTTTTTATCCCCACTCGCTCTCTGTGTGAAAGCTTCTTCAGCAGCAGCAGGAGGAGGAGGGGGATAGGAGAAAGGCTGGGTGTGTAGGGGGGTGGTCCCTGTCACTCATCACAATAGGAGGAAACCGACCCGCCACATTCCACAGGCGGTGGTGACGCATCGCCTGGAGGTTTCCGGGGCAACCTCTCAACCTCAAAGCGCCTTGGCTGACATTAAATATTAAAAATCCCACGTGGACTCATAACAACCACGTTACCGTGTCATATTCTCCACTTCACAGTCCTGCTGTGCGTGAACTGATCTCAGGACATCAACCAGAGGAAAGCTGGGACTTTTTTATTAAATGCCCACTGAAGACTCATTTTATTTTTTATATTACTCCTACACAACATCTTTAGAAAGCGACTTAGAATTTAATTTTGAGATTATATTAACTATATGGAAATGGATGGAAATGAAGGATGCGCCTCCAGCTGAGCCGTATTTGTATTTATAGCTTTGCCAGCTTGTCCCCTGCTCTCGGCCTCGCTGTGTGTGCACCTCCTCGCACACAGAGTGGAGCAGGCTTGACTTCAAAGTAAAAGTCGTGCTTTACTGCTGAAACGACACATTTCAAAAAGCCTCAACTTTTACTTTGACGGTCCCCGTTTACAGTTTGCATCACTCTTAGTTTCACAGCTGCTTCATCAGCGGTAACCTGCGAGTAAGCAAAGCACACAGGTCTTTGTCTCAGTACGAGTACTTCTATGTGATCATGTTTCCTCCAGAAACCGCTCACCAACCATTTTTGATCGTTGCCTCGCCAAATGGTTGCTAAGCGCTCACTGCGTGGCTTAAGTTTCTACTTCCCATGTCTGTGAGTCTGCAAAGGTCCGAGTGATGTAAATTTGACCATCAGACAGCGGGCACAGGGGTTTATATGGATGCCATGTGCCTGTTTTGGTGGTCGCGCACACTCGTCCACAGGCAGAGTCCACAGAAGTACAACCGGAATGACCGAGTGTAATCAAGGCTGTAACGACGACTTCTAACTTAAGGGCAACAAAAGCTTCCAAACAAGTGTTTGGCACATAAGAGCTCGAGCGAGCGGACAGAAGCCGAGAGTCAGCTGTGATTTTCAGTCACGTCGACACGCTCAAGGATCGTGTCCATAGTTTCTGCTTCTTTGTACTAACAGTACTCATCTTTTTATATATAATTCACAATGTTCACCACATGTTTGGTGAATGGATAACTAAAAGTGAATACTTCCAAAACAGAGTAAACTGAATATTAATGTGTTTTTTTATGGTTTATATTTTCAGAGATGTTGACATGTTAGCCACAACTTAAAGTGAGTTTGACCCTCGTAGCTCACGTCATCCAAATATGAGAAGCTGAAAATCCACATCCATAAATGATGCTGCCCTCGTTTTCCTCACTTTAAGGTTTCATTTTGTTTAGATACGGAAACTCAAACACATCATCCCAGCGTGCCAATTATCAGTCGACAAAAAGCCTGTGTGTGTGTGTGTGTGTGTGTGTGTGTGTGTGTGTGTGTGTGTGTGTGTGTGTGTGTGAGATAAAAGCATTTGGATGTGTCTGTGTGCTAAGCTTTGTCCAGACAAACACACAGATGTATGTGTGTTTGATTCACTGATTCCGAGGCTTGTCGCTAGCGTTTCTTTTCAGCGTTCCTTCGTTATGTCGTGACTGCAGATAAACTCGGAGTCGGCTCACTGCTGACGGCAGAAACTGAACTGGGTCCTTTTTCAGCTGATGAATAATGAAAGGGGCCCGGAGAAGACCCCCTCAGCTCAACTCTAAATTTAGCCGGGGAAGACGGAGAGGCTGCTGATCCCAGAGAGAGCCGGCAGTCCGACCGGCCGGCAGCTCAGGTATCCCATTATTTGATTCCTCTCTTTCTGTTTCCTCCCACCGGCTAAATCCTATCCTCTGATCATCAAGGGGAGTCGCTAACATAGTCGCTCTCCGTCACAGTTTCCCCTCACAGCGGCGGACCAGCTGGCAGCGGTGGCGACGGCCTTCGTTTCACCGTCAGTCAATCAAATGGTGCTTGTAGTGCTTCTCGCATGCTTCACTGCATCAGCGCTCAAACCGCCTGCAACGGCCAAGGAAGCAGATCAAAAACAAGCCACAGTGAGCGTAAACAAGCGTGCCAATAATACCTCAACAATGAGACGTGTTCAGTCATGTGTTTGGACCGTTAGTGTCCAAAATCAACAAAATCTAAATCCAGCACACTTTAAGAAGTCCTCACACGCCACAGCGTGAAGGTGAACACCTCGGGTATGTGTGTTCACGTGTTTTTACTTTAGATGACAGGAAAATTTTAAAAAGGCAACTTTCTCCTGAGTGGGATCCCCAAGATGACCATATTAGGGATATCCTCTCTCTATGACATCATACAGATCCAAGAGTAGAAAAAAATTGTCTGAAGCGGAGTGTTTTGATCAGGCTCGCAGGGGCCTGGAGCTGTCACACAGCTCACCTGCAGGGCTGCCAGTCATCCATGTGGATGCTGGTTTCTACTTCAGACCAGTCGAGCATTACTGAGCTAAATCTCCATTTACAGGGCGCTTCTGAGCGTGGAAATCACGCAAGATTACACATTCAATGCACCGCTGCCATTAGAGAAGCAGTAAACTGTTATTTTCTTTGCACTTACAGATTTTAAAACTACATCCTGTGAGTTTGGGCGTAAGCGGCAGGATTCAGAGGGGATAATGCTGGAGTCGCCAGCCCCACCACAACAAAAAAACAAACATTTTAATTGCACCAATTACAGGACTTTTAGCGTCACATGAAAGGCTGCACATTTTTGAGCTCACACGAGACTCAAAGAAGAAGCATAAAAGTCATTCTGGTGACGTTCTGGTCAAAAATGAATTTGCAGTCTAACAAAAGTGGGTGAAAACCTGATACGAGTACGTGCACCCCCCCACGCTCAGGTTTCACATACCAAGGTAAACACTGAGCTGAGCCTCGGCGCTCTGATGCAAACTGACAAAACGAGAGGCAGAGTGCAAACACACAGGGCGGCGAGCTGCATAGCTGAGCGGTGAGTCAGGCGGCGTGCAAATTCCTCAGGTTGAGTTATGAGGCTTCAAACCAGTTCATAGCTGCTCAAGGTCCAACTGTAAAACACCCTCACCACATCACAGCCATAAAGCTCCGCCGACAGATAACCGGTGGATTCATTACCGAGACGGCCTGCCCCGTGTCACCCACCTCATACCTGCGTTATCTGACCAATAACATTCCTTTGTTCTGATGACACACGTTCAGGGCCAGCAGCAGAGACCTGACGCGGCAGTCTGGACAGTTTATAAGCACTTTCCTCATTCTTTGAGTCTCGAGGTGTAAAACCTCCCGCTGAGAGCGAGAAGTTGTTGACTGTACAAGAAGAAGAGCGGATGATACGTTTGAATTTGGACTCCACATCCCGGTCATCCAAACCTGTACGCCGGCTAAAGCTGCAGACCTTGGGCTGTGGAGCCCGCTGCCCTCGATAGATGGGTTTCGCTTCCCAACAGATGACGCAGTTTTGTAAAAAATGCATTTTTGCTTTTAAAGCTCAGTGAAAACCCGTGTCGACCAGTTTACCGCCCCAGAAAAGCAGGTGCTGCGTTCAAACTTTGGGCGCCTGCAGAAGACTCGAGGTCTGCATCGTCCAAACTCTGACCTCGTCGTGTCCTTCAAGGTACTCAAACTGATTACAAACCGATTCTTTATAAAGGAAAGCAACGTAATTCAAAATGAATCAAATGACATCCAAACATTTTTCAGCGTGGTTTGAATCAGCGAGGACAAAATGACACATGTGTAACCGCATCTGTGTTTTTAACCCCGTCACACACTCAACACCCCGGGTACACTGAGCCGTCACCCAACATCAGCTGCAGGTGTTGTTTCATACATTAAAACAGCCATCTTTATTATAATTCCCTTTACAGAATCATTTATTATATTACAGTCACATTTTTAAGTTGACATTTTACCGTATTTTTAGCGTTTTACTTATTTATTCCATTTATTTGAGCTCTAAATAGAGTGAAACTAACGATCACTCAAAAATGATTATTTTTTGTATTTTTTTTATCCAATTGATTAATTTTGTCTTCTGAGTTATTCTCCTTTTAATTATTTCAACTTGAGTAATTCTTCTCAAGCCACAGTTTTGTTATTAGTTGGATATATGCTGCATATATACGTGTATCTTGAACATCTGGCCATCAGAACATGTGGATTTTGACTGAATTTTCAGCTTTAATGATGACTAAAGACCTCGCACTGTTAAATGTTGAAAACCGAGATCAGAATCAGGATGAGTGTCCATGGATGAGGATGAGTTTTCTCGTGTGAATTTGTGTTTAGTCTGGGACGTGTTTGTTTATGTTAAAATAAAAATCTAAAACAGAAATCCTGGTTCTGTTTTTTACTTGTTTTCTTCCTCTCGTTTCTTCCTTTCATTCGGGCTGAAGTTCTGCATAAACCGCTGCATGCTGAGCGAGCTTTAGAGCCCAAGGCCACCATTAAAATGGGACTGCACAATTCACAAATAGCCTTGTTAATTAACAAAGAGCAGTTTTTATAGCTTCAGAATCAGGCCATAACAGCGCAGGAGGAAAGCACAGTGACAGAAAATAACAAATATTCCTGCACAGCTGCAGGTGGACTCCATATTCAAATACAGAGCATCAGATAAGCTGCTGCTCTCGCTTTAAATACAGGACGAGTGTAAGAGATGCTCCGAGTGTG